TTTTAATTACATTTTACTCGCTGAATTTTTCTTGCTGAATTTATTTTCAATAAAGTTTTAAAGTTTTAGTAGCACTTGGAACTTTGAAGTGACTTGTTTCATGGTGTGTCTGCCTCCCGTGTTTTAACATGGATTTTTCCCTGACAAACATTTATGGGGGACATTGAACCAGGCTGGATTCACACAAGTAAGTCAATAGCTGCACTCCTACTTCTCAATATTTTGAATCACAAACTGTCCCCTTTTTAGCCTAGTATAATATGGCATGACATCTTCAACCTGGTCATTCAGGAACAGGTCTCAAATAATTCAAATTAATTCCTAATTGATTTAGGGTTTCTTACCATAACTTGGCCAGCTAGTGCTGTGCAAGTTTGGAAGAGAGATTTAATGTAGGATAAACCTCTTCTAACCACCTTAACAGACACTACTCATTCCAATTCATTCTTTCTTTTTTCCTTTAAAAAACACTCATTACGGATGTATCCATGGGTGAAATGGGCACAGAAAGGGGGCCAGGGAGTGATAGGACTCCCTCCAAGCCATCTATGCTGGTGCTTCTCCTGATTAGGCCACAACAGATTTTTACATTATTTATTGTTTAAACTGTCAGGGAAAAAAAATACTCCACTTGTCAGCTTCCACAAAGAAGTCTGGGTTGCTGGCAGAAATGACTGTTGCTTATATAAATGGGGTAGGTTCAGGTTCCATTGATTGGGTAAGATGTTCAACTGGAAGTAACAGCAGACTGAGGCAAGGGTCTCAGGGAAACTTAATCTTATTCTCACCGTTAATTTGGTGCCTCTAATAAAATCCATTATTGGTAAGATCTTTTTTCCAATGGTCTCCAGATGTCTCTCTGCCTCATCTTTTGTGATAGGGCTGAAAGGAGCTTTGTGCTCTGGTGAGAATGCAAAAGAAGATACACCAGTTCTCAGATGGTCACAGATAAACAGTTTAATATCTAATTGGTCTCTTACCATAAGAAGAAGAATGTTGCTCCCACCAAAGGAAAGTGGCTTCGAACACATTAGATCAGTGTTTCTCATCCTTGGCAAGTTTAAGACATGTGGAATTCTGGGAGTTGAAGTCCACACATCTTAAAGTTGCCAAGGTTGAGAAACACTACACTACATCATGAAGGCAGAAGAAAGAGGTGGAAGAATTTGAATCTTGATCCCACTTTATCTGAACTGGGCTGTTGGGTATTTGATATCAATTATTCTGCTTGTAAATAAATTAATCCAATAAACATGATCCTACTCAAACCTGCCCATACATTTATATGGTTATATCATGGGGACAGGAAAGTTAAAGAAGTAGTAATTTTTTTTTTCAAAACTTCAAAATATGTGTGTGTGTGTGTGTGTGTGTGTGTGTGCACCCATGCATGTGTTTTGCTGCTTTGGAAAGATGTGCAAAATTCTGTGTCAGCAAAAGTTGACCTGCTCAAATCTTCTTCAGCAAATTATTTTTCCTAATTTTGGAGAAGCGCATAAGGGGAACCTGTAAGCCTACATGAAATTGATGGTGATCTAGCCTTAAGGCAGTGTTTCTCAATCTTAGCAATGTGATTTCAACTCCCAGAATTCCCCAGCACGAAATTCTGGGAGTTGAAGTCTACACATCTTAAAGTTGCTGAGATTGAGAAACACTGCTTTAAGTAGAAATCAGAGAGAGAGGGAGGGAGACAGACAGACAGACAGACAGACAGACAGACAGAGAAAAACACATTCACCACCTGAAAATGTTGGCAGTTTTCTACAAGACATTTTTTCTAAAAATTTTCCAACTTCTTTGTTCTTCAGTCCCAGTGTCAGCAAATAAGACTGAGGAGAAGGACAAGACCAATCAGCTGTTTGTGGCAAACTGTGTAATCCATGAGGGTCTGAAATATAAGAAAAGAAAAGGAGAACATCTACTACTGTGAGACAGCCAGTGACATTTGTTATTTCAATTTCCAAAATTTCCAAAAGAATTTAAACATCAGAACTTACTCATATGCAAGCATCACAGAAGACAAATATTGTAATAAATCAAATTATTTTTCTTTAAAGGAAGGAGTAAGGAATTTTATTTTCCAGCACAAAAAATAAAAATCCTTTCTCTGCTTGGTCTGAAAAATTCTCAGCTGCCTCCTCCTCCTCCTCCTCCTCCTCCTCCTCCTCCTCCTCCTTTGGATGTAGTCTTCAGATGGCTGCACTAGAGTTGGCTGAGTATTATGTAATCTACATATCCTTCCTTCTATGAATATTCAACAGTCCTTATATTCATCCAGCGGCAGCTTTCCTTGCTTTGTGGGGCCTATAAGGAAATAACTTGTAGAGAAACCTAGGAAAATCCTCCTTTTTTGCAAGAGATTTTTTTTTTAAATGTTGTGGGCTACATTCCACTACTGGGGTGGATTGGGGGAAACGTCTTGTAGGCTGCAAACAAGAAGTGAGCAGAAACTGGCTGGGGTTCCGTGAAGCCAAAAGTCAGCAGAGCCAGAGCTGATGATGGACCACTGTTTTCTTCGACAGCCCCCTCAACCTGTTTATCCTATGTGTGGCCACCTGCTGTAAGACACAGCAGTTAAGATTAAGAAAAAAAGTTCCATGCACACTTTTCTTCCCCTAAGTTGTTTAGCAGTGATGCAGCCCTGTAGGCTATTCTTGGTTCAAAAGCTAAGATTCTGCTGCCCTAGCTGGAATGGGAAGTATTGAGTGCCTTGTAATGTCTCTCCTTGGAAGTGGTTACAGATAGGCATCTTGAGATGGGGACCCTTCAGTACTAGAAAGGGGAAGATTGTGCCTTAGGTGTTTGGGGACATTTCTTAAATGTGACTGTGTATAATCTGCAAATTATAGGATGAATGGAAGCTCTTGCAGAATTTTCTCCCCAAAATGAGCAGGCCTAAACTAGCAGAAAAGTATAGGGTTTGTTTGGATTCTAGATTTTGATGTGAGAGAGGAATCAGCAGGACTGCTTTAACAATCTACGTGTAGCATCTTTCAGCTCCAATAAGTTATAAAATAAAGTACTTACTTACATGCATTCTGTAACCACATAGCAAGGCCTTGTGATAGCTTGGGATAGCTGTCCTCCATCTTCCAAGGTTACAGTTCTACCCTGTCTCTCTCATCCACCCATCTCTGCTCACTGCTTTGTCTAGCTCCTTTCTTAGGGCCTATTTGGAAAGCTTTTTTTTCATGGCAGCCTGCCATTTCTAGGAATATCCTCCTTTTTTTTTTTTTGCTTTCAAGGCTGTCTGAAGTTAAGGAGAGGTTGGCACCTTCCATACCCAAATTAGATTAGCAGTTGAATCTTCCTTCAGCAGTGGCAATAGTACAACCTCTTCCATCTATCTAGAACAGCATAGTTTAGAGGATTTGGCAGGAGTGTCCACAGAGTATGGTCAGAAAAGTCAAAATGGTGGCCATGATGATGTGATCAAATCTCTGCCTTATATTCTAATACCACGTCCACCAACCCCCTTTCTCTGTTCCCCATCTTCAACATCTGCTGTCAGACTCTACCTAATAATAAGGCTGACAAATTATTTATTTGGGTTAGTTTTCTCTCTAAGCTATTATGCAAAATAAGATAGAAAGGGAAGTTATGAGTTTTAATAATATCCATCAATGGTAGCATGCTTAATTTTGCCAGGACTGTGCCATGTTGTCACCTGTATATATGTATTCCACATAGTCAGGGTGCTTTTTGATAAAAACTTCCTTTAGCTTGTCTGTGTTTTCAACCTTTATTTTTATGGCAAATGGAGTGTACATCACTGAAAAATATTCTGCCCTTGTGATAGCTTCTTCAATCATAGCCTAAAAAAAGAAAAAGGAAGGAAGGGAGAAAAAGAGATATGATACAGCCTATTTTTTAAAAACTTGAGCTACTATTAAAAAAATACAAAAACAAAAGAGGAAAAATGAAAAATAATTACCTTCATGGATGATATTTTCCCCTTTAATAATTGCACAATCATGCAAAGATAACATATTTGGGGATTGAATATTAATTAGAGAAAAATTAAATGAGTTACAGAATGCATTGTCTGTGTCACCCTGAGAGAATAAATTTTAATGTCGAAAAAGAACATTTGTAAACATTTCCCATTGCAGCAGGTCTATGCCTTTGGTGGGAAGAAGACAGACATTAGTGAATTATCTCAAAGATAATAAGAAAATGAATTTTACCTTCTCCCAAGGTCATATCCATATCATTCAAGATTTTGTTCAAAGCTAGGGAAATTGATTGAACTTTTATCTTATTTTAAATGTGGGCTATTCAGAGATGAAGTAGCACATGCAGAATATAATGAAGGAATAAACAATTTGTGATCCACATTCTACTAATTTTAGAGGAGTCACCCACTCCCATAGGGAAAGGGCTCAGAGAAAAACAGACTGGAGCAACAATTTTGTTAGATTTCAGTTATTCATGACTGGAACTCCCACCCATTCAGTAACTTGCTTTGCTTTCTTTTTCTTAATATAATTTTATTAAGATTTTAATAAAATTTAATAATTTAATTTCTCTAAGAGAGGAGGATGGAAAGAAAGAATAAAAAGTGCAAAAAAGAAAAAAAAGAGTAAAAAGGAAAGAGAGAATAAAGAAAAAGAAAAGAAATATATAAAGAAGTGACTTCCAACAACAAGTGTAAACAAATTTAATAACTCTCCACCCCCTATAAAGTTAAACAGATATCTCTTCTTCCCATATCCCATCCCTTATCTATAAGCAAATCCATAAAAGATCAGTCCTGGTGTCAGCAAGAAGTCCATAAAGGGTTGCCAGAACATTGAGGGGGTGGAGGAGGTCTTTTTTCAAACTTGATCAAATAAACCAACTCTAGATTCTTTCCTTTTGTTTCTAACACTCTTGATCTTTAATTCAGTCAAATATTGTTGTAGGATCTGATTTCTCTTCAGTTCTTTATCTCATCACACAGATTTCTTCAAGGCTTTAACAAGTCCCTTTTGTAGATCCAGTAAAAAAGCATTTTCCAGGTCATTTTCTTAGTTTATCATTTGTATTTCCCTTTTAATTTTACAACTTCAGCCAGTTTCTTTTGTATATCCGGTAAAAAAGTGTCCTTTTCCAAGTCATTCTCTTGGCCTGTCATTAGTAGTTCCACATTCAGTACTTTCTGTCTTATCAGATAAAATTTGTTGCACATTTGTCATTCCTTCATTAACATCTTTCAGACATAGTCTATCCCTAGAAGCAGACATCATTACTGACAGTGTTGATATTGAAGTTACTAATTTCTGGTTCCATTCTTCAAAGATCTCCTTTATATTTCTGATGTTATAACATTTTGTATCATTCTGTAAGTCCCAGTAACAGTTGACATCAGGGTTGTTTTTTCTTCTTCTTCTGCTTAACATCTTTAGTCCCCTCTAGTCGAGTTTCTAAAATCACATCTTTTGTTATGACTTGCAGTTGCCAGGATAAGCAAAATAAGTCTGTTTCCCATAAGAAGTTGTTTATTTTTTATAGTTAATTCCCAAATCTTATAGTAAAAGTCAATATTCCAAATTTATCTGGATCCTCAATCCATTTATAATTTTTTTAGATCAAAATCTGATTTAGCCTTTTGCTGTTTGGTTCAAATTATTTAAGTTCTTAAGCTTGTAATTAATTTTTCTTTTGTTCAGAGTTGGAAATAAACTCACCTGATGAAGACTTTTCAAACCTGTCCCCTGGAAGCCCACTTGCTTTGCAAATTTTTAGAAGAAAGGCATGGGGAACTTGCTTGCAACTAAGAGCTTCCCTTTAATTTTGTTGATCCCTCAGTGCTGCAGTCCAAGGCAGTCATGACATCAGTGGGGGCTTTTTCAGTAGGGGAAGGGGCTAAAGGTAAAATGGGTATCTTGATGGATTGTTTGCCTTTTATTAAGATAAAGAAGAGAAGTTGTTTTGGACCTTAAGTCTTTATTTAATTTATTTATTTAAAAGATTTCTATGGCCATCCATCTTAAAATGCAGCTCTTGACTCCTGGTGACTAAATGGGTGGGCCCATACACTTTTCTTGGCAACTTTTTCACAAGTGGCTTTATCATGGCGACCTCACTCTCGGAGGAGGGGATTGACAATGAGCAGCCAGTTCCAGAGTTGCCGGACGAACGGCTGCCTGAGGAGCTGCAGGCAGAGGAGATGGGGTTGTCTGGTAACCAGCAGGCACAGCTACCACCAGTTTCTGAAGATGAGCTGCCACCTGCTTCCAGTGCAAGGGTTCATCGTGTGGAGAGGAGAGTAGAGCAGAGCAAAGATGCTCTGCAAGGCTCCTCGCAAGAAAGGAGCCTCATCCTTCCAAATGAGCAACACCGGGCTGCTTCTATTTAAGAAGAGCAGTGAACTCAAACCTCTCCATTGGCAACAACCATTCATTTACTCAGACTCTGTGTGCCTTGACTCCTCACTTGGAACCTCGTGACTTTGACTCTGGTCCTGGACTGGCTAATGAACCTTCTACAATGTTTGGACCCTTGGACTTCACTTGACCACTCTTGTGCCTACTGTTTTGGATTTGGAACTCTCTCAAGGCAAGCTTGCTGGACTTTTGGGGACTTGCTTTCTCTACTGGGTGTGTGTGCATTTGCACTCACATTTCCTTTGTTTGTTTACTCCACAAAACTTATCAGTAAAATTTGCAATCACCGCTCTGTGTGCTTGTGTCTGGTCTGCTTGTGTCTCTGGTATGCTTGGCCTGGGACAGGACAGGCATACCAGTTCCTTTGTCAAGGATATTTTTCAACTTCCCAGTCTAGGGTTGGGCAGCCTGAAGTAACTCAGTTAGTTTTGCGCTTAAGGGAGGACTAGAACAGTTTTCCCTATTTCTGGTCAAGTGTCTTTAAGCACTATACCAAACTGACTCTCAATCTTCTCATCCTCTTATTTCGGATGATGGTGGGAATCGCTACCTAGAATTGGGCAAAACAGGAAATGTGGAAATATCGATTGGGTTAAATCATAGGTGTGCAACATCCTTCAGTCAGGGACTATGTATCTTTTTCTTCGGAGACTGTGGGAGGCATGGTGGTGATGTGGTGATATTCCTAGAGGAGGTTAACATACCTATTTAAAGGCTTTCTTACAAAATAGATAACTAAATAAATAAGCAAGCAAACAAATAATAATAGCACTGTTTCTCCTCAAATGTTGACAGTTTACCATGGTGGGGGAAGGGAATTCTAAATGCTGATAGATGGCCTGGAGGGCCTCAGAGTACAGCCATCCCTGTACTAAACTACAGATTGCTTTGATCTTAGTTTATCAATCAGGCCACAGTGGCCTGGTTCACACATAACCATTACCATAAATCATAAACCCATATGTGAACCCAATCTTTGTGGCTTATTCAGCAAATCATGGTTATGTCAGCCACGTCTTGCCATAATGTATAAGCTTAGCCCTCGCCTTATAAAGTGGCTCATATCAGTTAGCAACCTATCTTGTGACACATTGACTGAATCCAAACTTAGAATGTATGCATGTTTGTCTTTCACTTTTCAATATTTGGTTTTTTCTAATGACATGTCACAATTCTTGAAGATATAGGTCCGATACATCTCACTTGATGGACCATTTTTCATAAAGATTGCCGTTCGTGAGGCAAACTGACAAAGGCAAAGAAGGAAAGGCAAAGATTTTCCACATAGAAAAAAAAAATCTCAGTGTGGAACTGAAAAATTACCGCATTCAGTTTGACTGGCAGATGGACAGTCAGTATTTTGAGGCTCAAGGTCACTCCTTGGTGAGGTAAAATTGCTCATAAAATTACGTGCAAATCTAAGCAATGTTTCCAAAAGCCGAAACAATTGTGTCTGCTTGCCTGGAATGGGAAGGCAGAGGAAATTCAAAATTTATCTTTTCTTTCAGAATGGCCATAAATGGGTATTTTGGTTAACATTATGCCACTTCACTAAATATTGATTCTGATAAAAAAACAACTATTTGATCAGTTTGCCTTAATGGCACACACCCAGAAATAAAATGCACTAAGATGCCATTGTAAAGCAGAAGCTCTGCCATGCCAGCCATTTAATAATAGAAGCCATAGAAAACATGGCTTTATGTCTATCTGCTAACAGCAAAGATATATATTAAATTCATGGATATATTAAAGGAATTCACAATTGGCCGAACAGAGTCAGGCAGTTACCTCAGGCAGCAGACATTGGGAGAAAGCAACGAAGTACAGCAGTAGAAAGCTATGTGTCAAGGGGCCTGCCCTGGACTTGCTTATTTAGACATTGTCATTTAGAGAGAGAAAAATCAACTATCGGGTCACTCAGCTTTTGGATGAGGAACAGAAGAAATGCTTCCTTGTTTTCTTGCCTGAGACAAGAAAATATTGTATATCAGTTCTGAGAGGACTTCTGAGCCCTGCTTAGACGTAGTGGTGCAACTACAGTTTGGATCCCAGGTTCAGAGCTCTGAAGGTCCTCTGAAGTGTCTGCCTAAGGAAGGTCAGATAACAAGAGCAACAACCAACTAATAGGCCAGACATCAGCATTTGGGCAAATGTGAGCATCCTATGGGCTCACCAGATCTTCCTTTCTTGTCATCCTAATAGATAAATACAAAGAGAGAGAGAGAGGAACAGTTGGGGTAAGCACATCTGTGCTAAAAATGGCTCGTTTAATTATTTTAATCTTATGTGGATTTCCTAAGTTAAAATATTACTTATTAGGCCTATGTGGATCAACGAGGCTCTATCTTAATAAAGGGTTTTAGCTTGAAGAGGTGTGGCAATCTTCCTGAATACAAATAAAGCCTTTGTGGAGGTACTTTGCTCTGGTTTGATTTCCTCAAGGA